TTTTTAGTATTTATTTATTGAGGATTTAATACGGGACTAAAAATTGAGGATTTATTGTAGTATTTATAAAATATGAAAATTTATGATTTGTTAGAAGAAGAAGCCACCAAATCAAAGTCTATATGTGTAGTTATCGAGAGGGAAGGAGGCTAAGAGATGGTTTATGTAAAGTGGGTCTTGACAAAAAAAACAAAAAAAAGTTAAGTGCCCGAGCTGGGCTTTAAGTGGCCTCAGGCTAGGCATAACCCATGTCAAGCCGTGGGTTGGTTCGGTCTATTGGGCATAATTTTCTAAATCCAACACGGCCCATGCTTTCTTGTCATGCCTAGCACGTTCATCCAATAATCGTACTTGAGTCGTGTCGTGCCCCATTTAAATGGGTTGGGCTCATGTCGTGTTGGCCCTACCCATTTGACACCTCTAGTTTCTCTCACACACACTATAAGTCAAGGTTATTTTTTCTTGGCTAGACCCTATTGAAAAAGAATTTTGTTATATACTACTAGGAGAAGAGCATAATTTTAAAATACTAAATAGTTAGCCATAAGAATGTAAATATTGTCTTAAGTAAACTCAGTTAGATATTAATATAGTAAACAATCACACACACACACACATATTGTATAGAATGTTACAATAAATCAATACAAAAAATAAAAAGTTACTAGGATCTACAGAAGCAATTAATAAAATAAATAGACCAAGAAAGGTAGCCCAATTCACTAACACAAAAGTAAAGCTGACACATTATATAATTAACACACAATGTAGGATTGAAAAGACATCAATTTATGTACCATTTACTTTAATATCACCAGTAGGTTCCTGTTCTTTAAGAGGGGCATAACCACAATAAATCAAAGCAAAACGCCAAATACACTCAGAAGAAATGACCAAATGTAGAAAGAAAAGAGTTCGCAATACAATCTATGAAAATGAACACTAAAACTTAGCAATAGAACCAGAGGATGAGCACATCTTAAGCTTTGAGTAGGATTTGGCGTCATTGGCAAAACATAACCTTATTTTTAAGAATAATGATTACCTTCTGAAGGAAGAGGAGGAACTCCTCTTCAAATGAAGATGTGGCTAATTGCGAAATGGGTACCTGTCTATACAATAAATAAATAAAAGTTTACAGTTCTTGGACTTTGGGGTGGGGTGGGCTCTTGCCTCTTGATTTTAGTTTTAAGTTCATTGTTTGGAGATGTGTTCATTTTCAATTGGTCACATCTTTCTTTTTTCTTCTTGCTGTAATTTTGTTTTCTTTGGTCACATCTTTATTTCAGGAATTCCTTTTTTCTTCTTTGAGTCAAACATTATCCTATTCTTAAATAGAGACGAGCATGACTTGACTCGTTAAAATTGAGGAGAAGCTCTTCTTTAAAACCAATCGGGTTTTGGCGCTTGTCTAATTTCAACAACATTGAAAAAGTTTCAACAACATTGAAAAAGTTTCAACAAAAAAGTAAAAAGAAAATTAAATTTTTTTAACACATGTCAAAAGCTTTTTTCTTCAATTAATAGTTTGCAGATAGCTTTGACCTTCAAAGACTTAGAGCATCCACAATGGATTCCCTAAACCACCTTCTTAGACAAATTTTAGGGAGGAATGATAAAAATGCAACTCCAACCACGCTCCCTATCCACCTCCTAAAACAGGGAGTCCTCTAGGAGCTCCTAAATCTGAGGAGAGAGAAAGGACTCCTAGTGGCTCCCTATAATTTAATGCTTCTTTATTTAATGAATATTTCAAACCTTTATTTAATGCTAACCATTTTTTATTTTATTTTTTTAATAGAGATAAACCAATCAAAAAAGAGTTATAGCATTTATGACTCTCCAAATTAGGGAGTATGGTTGGAGTTGAAATTTTTTAGAGAGCTCCTAAAATAGCTTTTTTATATTCTTAGCCAAATTTTGACTAAGAAATAGAGAGCATCATTGTGGATGCTCTTAGAGTATCTACAATGGGCTTCCTAAACCATCTCCTTAGACAAATCTCAGAAAGAAAAGGTGATTCTCCCAAGAGATAAGCAAGCTACAATCTCATAAAGAGATAAGCAGGAAAGCAGGGAGTTGTTTAAATTGAAGAAATCAAACTAACCATCACGGATGAAATCTCACAAGGGGTAGTTAAAATTGGGAGAAGCGATTAGGTTCTTTTTCAAGAAAAACAGGGAAGTGATCTTAAGAACTGACTATTGAGAGTTTATCTACCAGAAATTGATCAAAACCCCCTTTCTTTACTATTAAAAATGAAAGATCTTTTTTAAGAAATTGCCGCCCATTATTTAAAAAGAATTGCCCTACTCCAGATAAAATCTCTTATAAATACAAGAAGGAGTGAACAGGGCAAATGACGCTCAATTCAACAACAATCAATCCAACACTAAAGTCATCAATCAAACAAACAACTCAAAATCAACCAGAAGCTCACTTGAATTCCAAGTGAAAACCAGCTTTAGATCAGAATTCCCAAGGTTCAGACTTAGAAAATAAGTTATTCAAAACGAGATTTCTCTCGTTACAAATTTGGTTAAGCAAAAAAACCAAGACAGATAGAGCTTGAGCTTTTCCCAAACATGAAAACCTCAACAAATTTTACAGTGCAGTCTCTAGCCCACTGAAGTCCTTGAGAACAGCTACTTCTGTTCTTATAGACTAAAGAAGCCGCAGTTCTGCCCACTCAGAAGCCTCACAAAAGCTTGAAGTGTATTAAAGCTCTACCAAAATAAACCTTTGGTATCGATCTACAGCTGAAGCTTAGCAGCAGAAGTTGTTAACAGTCCAATCCAGCCCAGATATTTCCAGTCCAGCCCGGATCAGAACCCTCTATCCAGGCAGAAATGGAGTTCCAACTGTCATTTCTTCTTTCTAGCTTGGATATTTATGTTTATAGTTTTGTAAAAGGTTGTTCTGCCTAAGACAGCTTAAATTCCATCAACCACTCTGGCCAGAACAACCTCTTTATACTGAGATAAATTGTTAAAGTCCTCATCAGTCTTAGGCAAGAAAAGAACTTACTTGGGAGATATTCCTCACCCAAATTCACAATCGCTTGTTTATGGAAATCAATATCTTGGGGCGCAAGTTATCTATTCTAGAATAAGTCTGCTAGAATCTTCATTGCTAGCAGTGGCATGCTCATACACCAAAGAAAGCTAATTTGCTGACCAACCAATGGTTCACAAGGCAGTGGGGAACTTTGCCCTTCCACCACAGGAGTGATCACAAAACGGGTGAACAGCACCAGCTCTATAAATTCACGCTAAAACTCAAGAGATAAAACTCAAGCGAAAGTATGCTAAATAAACACACAATGCCATGTAAAGGACCACTATTCTAATATCAAGCCGTGCTACAGGCTTAAGTGGGCCCAAGCCATGTAATTACTCGGGGCTTGCTGAGAAGGTTGTGGTATGAACGGGAACAAGCACTCACAGGGCCCATTGAGGGTTCCAAGAATGAAAGTTTTAGGCCACTTGAGAGCACTAAAACTCAAGTCTATTCCTCGGGCCCAAACACATGGGTTAGCATGAGAGAGGGGAAAAAGAGATTCAATGCCCAAAATAAAACAAATCGACTACTTCTAGCAGCTTCACAAAAACCCACTAGACGTTGGAAATAGAGTATCAATAACCCAATACTGTAAACAAAGCTCAGCCCAACGCCTTGTAAAAATCTAGCATCATATTCCACCCTTGTTAAAACTCCAAAAACAGTCAACGAGAAGCCATTGTAGGAACCAAAGGAAATCCATATGTGTAAGAGAAGTACCCATTGGACAAACAACTACACCCATTCTCTTTTCTTATGTGAGCTATATTTTGAGAACCAATGAAGAAAGCAGGTAGCGCCTCACCACCATGGGGGAGGTCCAGCCATGCAAAAACCTTGGAACCCCAAAGTGCTTGTGACCCATGCGCTTTGGTTAAAGAAATTTCACCAAAAAGGAGTGAATGAAAAAAAGCAAAGGAAAAGTGGGTATGGAGGATCTATAGAATTAGAGTTCTAAGTGCCTATATAAGGGAGCTTCCTTTACCCAGCAAAAACCATGATCCAGAGCATGACCAAGCTTTGTCAAGCAACAGGAAATTTACTAAAGACACCCCATCTTCTACTTCCATTGTTTTCTCTTTTTCTGAGATAGAAATCTTCCTAATTTTCCTCTTCCCCATCTTGAACCTTTTCTCTCTTTAAGAAGTTCATGCTTTTTCTCTCTCTCAAATTGCTAAACTTGTGAAATCTTAGTTCCCATGCCACAAGCTCCTCAAGCCAAGTCACTTATCAATTTGTCACGTTCATTTGGTCATTAGTAAAAAGAACCTAAAAGTGTTTTTCTAAAGTTTCAGCAAACTTTCCAAAACTCTTTTTGGGAGCTTGGTTCTTGAACTCAGGCACTGGGAGAATTTTGTTTGTCTTCCTCTTACAGCAGCCCAAGCTCATTCATCAAGCTGTTAGAACAAAAACATCCCTACATAACTCAATTAGTCAAATTAAACCTTATGTAATACAGATCATTAAATAGTAAAATATGTGAGTGCGAAGTTGATCCCACATGTATTTTATTATGGGAGCTTTAGTAATACACCCAAAATAGGAGTTGAAATTATAAAAAAACCCTACATAAAATTCAATTTAGAAACATACCCAAAAACCATTTATTACATATGAAATGAGTGTTAAAGTTACTATAAATTGCATCTCTGTCATTGATTAACTTAAAACAAGCCAAACATATAAAAAAAAACTATAAAAAAAACCCAAAACAAGCCCAGCAAGTCCGAAGTACATTGTTAATACCATGCCATAAAAGTACAATGTTAATACCATGTCATAAAAGTACATTGTTAATACCATTCCATAAAAGTACATTGTCAATACCATTCTGTAGAAGTACATTGTTAATACCATTCCATAGAACAACATTGTTAATACCATTTCATAAAAGTACATTGTTTATACTATGTCATAGAACTATTTGTTATTACTATGTCTTAAAACCATCTTGAGTCCTTTCCAAAGGCATAAATTTTCCCAGCATCACTGATCAGCATTGTATTGCCAGCCCCAGCAGTGAAGAATACTAGTAATAACAAGATACCTCTATAATTAAAAAAAGAAAAAAAGTACACTATTAATACTACATCATAGAAGTACATTGTTAATACTATGTCATAGAACTATCTTCCTAGTAAAAATCACATTTTGCATATCATAAATTTCAAGTGAATGGTTGTGAGTTGTACACTTTTATCTTACCTATTATGCAAATGAAATGATATAGTTGTTAACTTCCAAATAATCCTTGTGATACTGATGGCTTTCCAAATTCGAGCATAGGGTGCCAACATGCCAACCAAGGCAATGTCAATAGCTATTCCAACCAAAAGATCAGCAACGTACAACTCAAACTCAGCCCAAAAATCCTTTACCCTTTTCTGAACTTCTGCAAATGTTGCACAATAAGAATATATGACTATCTGCATTACAAAAGAGTTTAGGAAGAGAAATTTATTTAGTATTCAACAAGATCAACAACTATCAAATGTAATGGTCCAATTTGAAGGCAAGGTATGTTTAATGGAATTCATAGGACTATCACCAATGCAAACAATGATCCACAAACTCAATTACTGATATTTACAATGAAAATTGCAGAGTTACAATTCTTTCACGAGCACTAATGATTTACAGTCCCTTGACTTGAAACACAAATTACTCAAAAACATTATTTACCAAAAAGAAAGATCACGAAAACAAACCTCTGTCCCAACTTTAAAAAGAAAGGAAGGATCAGCCAGCATACGATTTCGTAGCATAGAGCAGTACTTCATCAAACAGCCCAGTGGCCAAATTGACCCCTGAAATTCAAATATATATGTATATATATAAATTAGAAACCCAATAAGCAACTTAGCGAAAACCATATATCTGAACCATAATAGGAAACCCAAAGTCATATCACTACCTGATGTCTTTCAGGAACTTGACTCAATAAAGCATTAGTAACTAGAGAGTTATCATTTTGCATTCAAAACAAGACGGCAAAATTTGTAAGATGCAAGGAACAAGAAAGAGACTAATTTTAGTTCAGTGTGTTTAATGAAACACCAACTTTGAAGTTCTGATAAACATGTCATCTTTCTAGCATCTCCTTGAATAGCACCGAAATCAGGACAAAATGCATTTGCACGCAAGCAAGCAAGGCCATCTCACATATTGGGTAAAGCATCATAGCCAAGGAACCACAAAATATCTCATGCTAATTGGGAAATGAAGTGTATGCAAAGGGAGAAAACAGAGAATTAGAAAATGCAATTTCTGATTATGGCAAAGAAGGACAGTAGATACAAAGGGGCCCAGAGAATCATCAGCTTGGGAAAGTAAACATCGTCTCTGCAAAAGTTCCAGGGGCAGCTGCGTAAAAATTTAAAAAAAGAAAAACCAACAGCAACTAACAAAGAGACTCACAGATTGCCAAATGACTGTAGAAGTTCAATATTTTTCGCATTAAAATATAGATATATATAAATATATATATACACAGCAGCAAAACCAGGCTAGATAACTTATAGGTCTCAACCCGCTGAAAAAGGAATTTTAACAAGAAAACAACATTATTATCCTTCTGTAATAGCAAAAGCAGTGGTAAGACTGAAACAAAAATTGCAAACTAACAGTAGCTTAGCATGTACATCATACAAACAATAAATGTTTATGTAGATGCTCAACCATTCTGCTAATAACTAGAAACATAGTACCAACATTACAAATCATATTAGAACTAACACAAATAAGCAAGCAAGTAATTTTCAGATTTTTTTTTATCAATTTATTTATCGCAATTTGTAAACTAAATGCAAAACTAAGGGAAAGAACTGTAGACATATTCAAATTAATCACAAAATCACAAAGAAACTACTCAATGAGCTTCGAATTTCGGCGATAATCAAACCAGATCATACCAATATGATTCGGCAGACCTTGAAATGGTCTCTTCATTCTTCTTAAGCTCATCCTTGTGAGCCTTCTCTCAAATCTGGTGCAAAATGTGGCCATGATTGTCCTGCTCGTGAATCAAACGAAAGCCTGAGAAAATGACACCCTTGAGGATTTAAAATTCGAAACGGAGTAGAGAAATTGAAAGTGAAAGAAGCAACGAGGAAGAACGACGAACCTAAGTCTTGGAAGAAGAACCGATGAGAGTGTTGCCTAGAGCATAGAAAGGATTGGTGGAAGAAGATGAGCCTGGAGTCGCACAAGCTGCTCCATGAGTCACGATGCCCTTCTTCTTCTTATTCCTCTTCAATCTACAACATAATTGTTATTAAATAAAATATTTAAATAAAAAAAAATTAAGTTGGCTGTTTCTCAAAATTGCAAAAGGACAAAACCGTAATCCAATATAACTGTTGAATTGAAAAAATCGACAGCTGTCGATTTTTGGGTTTATTTTGGGTGTGTTTATATATATTAAATAGTATAGGGTATAGTTTTATGTCTAGGAATGGGTATTTAACTAATTTTGTAATTTTATTATCTTTCACTTAATTCCTAATAAAACAGTGTCACCTTTAAATAAAAAATAAAAAATTAATAGTTAAAGAAAAAACGAAAAACCGAACCGCCAAATTTATGCATGCCAGTCTCCCTAATCCTTGTAGTATGCATATGATTGTCGTATTAGGCACACCTTCCCTGCAATGCCCATCAACTGCGGCATGCAGTCTATGCTGTTACAAGCTCCTTCTTGGTTGGAAGTCAATATTTCACATGGAGAGGATAGCTTCATGATACACCATTTCTAAACATAAAATAAAAAGTAAAAGACATTAAATCAAATAAATGATCAAATTCGAGGATAATTAACTAAGAATTTAACAAAGACTAGTGAACAAAAGTAATTAATATATAATTACATGTAGATATATGTATATATGTTTCTCGTTGTTGGAGGACCATGGTTTGCGTTGGCTAAACTCATATTAGTATATGTTTGCTTTATTTTAAGGGACATTTTGGAAAAAGCAAAAGGAGAGAGAAAATTTTTAAAAGAAGTGCTTATAAAGGGATTGTAACTCAAGTGATTAAAGGCATTTAATTCTGCACCCAATGATCAATGTCATAGGTTTCATTCCCCTCTCCCTCAATATCATTTGTATAAAAAGAAATATATTGCTTAAGAGATTGAAAGAGTAATTAAATTGCAGGCAAGACTAGGCAACTAACTAAAGTAATGAACAATGTGAACTGATACATCCCTTTATATATCAAATTTCTACAAATTTTAGAGCAAAATGGGCCTTGAGCTCAAGGCAAACTCATTATCTTGCAAAAATAGGACTTGTTTAGGATCATCATTTGGATCACGGCCTGCCGTTCAAGATGGCAGGCTGATACCGAATGGGCCAAAGCTTGTTTTTGTCCAACATAAATTTTTTTTTCTTCAACACGACTTGGATCATGGGTTTAAAACCTAAACCCAGTCCACAATATGGCTTGTTTTAGTTCAATGTGGTATGGTTCGTCCTGTCTCGGCCAAACCCATTTGTTTTATATTTAAAAAATATGATTTGTAAATAATTTTAGTTTATATACTTGGCACTAAATTTAGTCTATAATGTGCAATTGAATATACATACAGTTGAATATATTTTCATTTGCCAAAAAAATACAAATTTTCAATGGTTAGATCTAGCCCTGGTCCTCAGCTCTGTCAAGCCTAAAGAGGCATGTGGTACCAACTGCATAAGAGATAGAAGAAATCTCTTGGGATGATTTTAACACACAACTTTGCTCTTACTCACCTATATAGCCAAAACTTAATAAGTTTTTTTTTAAAAAAAAAATTCTCAAAATTATGTAGGACCGAACTAGGGGTGGGCATCGAGATCGAAAAATCGAATTGAACCAGATTGGAAAAATCGGGCTGACTAAAAAATTAACGTAAGTAAAAAACCGAATTAGACCGATTCAACCTGGTTTCGATTTTGATTTTGTGTCTCAAAAATTCAATCCGCACCAAACCAAACCGATTATATATATATATATATATAATATGTTTTCAATATCTCATACAACCTAACTCCCTAGACCCAACTTCAAAGCCCATATACCCTTACCTTTCTTTCTTTTTTGGCAGAAGTCCATATACTTTTCTTTTTGGGTAAAAGCCCATACACCTTTTTTTTTTTGGTGGACTAACGATATTTTATCTCATTGTGGTTTAGATGCCGTATTAAAATGGGTCATGAGGTTTCAATTTCATTAATTTAATACCTAATATTTTTAAATTTGACCAAATTATGCCCTCCATCAACTTCACCGTTAGATTTTCTGTTAACTTGATGACATGACAAGTGTGGTATCCACACTTTATGCTGATGTATAAAAAACAAAAATTCTTTAAAAAATTAAAAAATTAGAAGTTAAAAAAAAAAATTTAAATCCTCTATTATATATATATATATATATATATCTCTCTCTCTCTCTCTGAGCCAACCCATCACCATATCCACCCAAACCTCGAACCAACCCCCAGAGATTCGCCGCTGACCCGCCCCGACCTCGACTTAACCCCACAGATCTGCCCTGACTTAATCCCCATAATTATATATATATATATATATATATATATGTGTGTGTGTGTGTAATTATTTACTTATTTATTGTCAAATTCAAATGTACTAGATTTTATATGTATAATTGAGAAAAAAAATGCACAGAAATGTAATGAAGCATGTAACTGTAACTAAATAATAAATTAAGAAAACGCACATGCTAAATATAAAAAGAAAATTTTGAAAAAAATAAATGTCTTTGGAATTGAATATCTAAAATACTTATATAGAGTTCTTTAGAGAAATTCTTATATGTTTTTGGAGTTGAATATCTAAAAGTTATAAAATCTTGAAGGGAAAAAAAACAGAATTAAAAAGCCCACAATCATTATAAATGAAAATTTTAAAATTTAAATACTAATGCCTGTTTGGTTTAAGGTTAAGGAGTTTGAAAATGAGTTTCAAATTGCATTCCCATGTTTGTCAAGTGCACTATTGGGAATGCAATTCTGGACTCATGACATGGGTGTGCACTTCTAATGTAGGGGGGAATTTCGTATCTTGGCTCACCTTGGGAAACAGGAGAAGAGTGGATGGGTAGAACCACCTCTCCCCTTGTGGCAGCGCTAAAGGGAGGTTAAGGTTTTTTCCCATGTATTTTCTCATGCAATGGGAAATGAAATGTTTGGTAATTCTTGGAAAGTAACCAGGAAATATCATTTGATTTCATTTCCCATGTTTTATGTGTGTAGAAATTGAAAACAAACTTTTTTTAGTTTTTCAATTATACCCTTGTTAGAAATAAGGGAAAAATAAAACCAAGAATCTTTGTTAATGGGGACAAATTGGTCATGAATAGAGGGTTTCATTTTCCCTCATATTTTCCCATATGTGGGGAAATCTTTTCCTATCCCTGAACTTACTAAACGTGAGTTGATTTCCCATTATCAAACTTGTTTTCCCATAAACCAAATGTTGGAGTTTGAAAGCCAAATGAGAAACTTTTGACTCACATTGAAAATCCACACTTCTATAAAGGTTTTATAAACTAAGTACTATGTTAGTTTGGTAAGTATAGTTAACCTTGGAGAGTTGGGCTAATGGGCTTGGCTATGGGCTTAGCTTTGATTAATAATAATTATATTAATAAAAAACTTGGGCCTTAGGCCTTGGATCTCTAGGGAAATTTAATTAAGACACCCAAACAAAAACAATTAACTTATTTTTTTGTTTAGGTGTCTAGGGTTTCAATTTAAATTTGAATTACATTAGGTTTATAATTGCTGTGGTTTCAAAGAGTCAAATCAGTATCATAAATACTGAATATCCAACAGCCAGAATACTTACTTACAAGATTTCCAATGTACAAAAAGAAACCATATTTTTACTTTACATTTTGGAGAAGAAGCACATTCACGTTTGTCATAGAATGGATCCTTGATTTATAGATCGTTGAATCCTAGTTGATAGACGTCCATTGAACTTCAAGCACTGAGAATGAGCGAAATTTTGTCTTTAGGACATTGCCAATTCGCAAGTGTCAGTGTCTTGTTCTTTTATCTTTCTGTGTTATCTTATTCTAGTTTATATAATTTGTTTTTGTATAAACATATTGCTTATTGTATTAACAATAATGCTAGGGACACCTACCAAATTTAGATCCACTACTACATTTTACTATTTGTGCGACGATATTTTGTGTGACGAAGACACAATCGTCGCGCAAGAAACACTTGTGTGACGGAAAAATCTATTCATCACGTAAACTGTGAAAAACTTGCACAACAAAACTTTTCCGTCGCACAAGAAAACTTCGCACGACACAAAACCTCGTCGTCGCGCAAAAGGAGGAAGAAAAACGAGGGAATGTTTTTTTCGCGCCAAATCCTTGCGCAATGACAGATGTCGTCGCGAAAAAGACCTTAGCGCGACGAATAATATTTTCGTTGCGTAAAGTTATATTAAAACAGCCAATTATGTTATTTGGCGACAAACACTTGTGCGACGACAACTCTCGTCGCAAAAGAACACTTCGTGCGACGACAAACTTTATCGTTGTACAAGAAATTGCGCCCAAACCTTGCGCCACGGAAGTTGATGTCGTCGCGTAAAGTTTGATGTCGGCCTGTTCATACACGACGAAAATTGTCTTTTGCGTGGCGAAATTTTATTTGCATCATGCAAACATTGGATGTCAACACGAACTTGCGGGACGAAAAATGTATTTTGGGCGACAAAGCGGAACACTTGTGCGACGAGATTGAGGTTTTGCGTGACAATATTTCGCACGATGAAATATGGCTTTGTCACGCAAAACCCTTCTTCATATTATTTGGATTCTGCCATTTCAGAGGCAGACTTCAAAAAAAAAAGCTCTGCCTCTGCATCTGCTTCAGCTTTTGCTTATGCTAGGAATTGACTACGTTCATTGGATAAGTATTTTTAGTCGTTAGTTTAAAGTATTAATGTAAATTCATACTAACATTATTAATTTCGTTGTTTTTAGGGATATTTGAAATTAGTGATTGGTGGAAAACGATGGAGAAGGTATTTGATTCGTTTTATATTTTTTTTTGTGAAATTATATTTATATTATGTTGTTAAATTGTCTATTACGTAGCACAATGTGTTGTGATGTACGAAGTTGATTGAAATTAACTTCGTACTTTGTTTTTTATTGTATTAAAACTTAGTTTTCCGTTCGAGATTAGTTGGATTTCGTGCATGGATGCGTAAAGCATGACAGCAGTCTAATTAATTCTTGAATTTTCCTAATATTTGGACAGTTTGGGAATGCATAGTTATGTCACGTAATGTACGGTTACAGGATTATGTTTCGATTGTGGAGATTTCGGTGTCATCTTTGTACATTCTTCGGGTGGTACATAGGTATTTTATACCTACAGTACACCTCAAGAACTGTATCAAGATGCTGCCTAAATTCAGCCATGTCGAAATCTAATCTCATGTAGCCGTAAATTACATGACATGACTATGCATTCCCGAATGGGATAGGGCTCATACCGGAGGCATAAGGTGACATTATAATTTCGTATGAAGTTGTTATGATTGTTTTGTTGTGATTGTGGTTCAGGAATTATGAGGAGGAGGTGGATAAAGAACCCGAATAGATGCGCAGACGAATATTTGGATGGAATCGAGGATTTTATTGAGTTTACACGTAGACACAACCCGGGTGCAACTAGAATCCGTTGTCCTTGTAGGAGGTGTAACAACACGTTGTGGGAGACAATTGAAAATGTTGGATTTCATTTAGTAAGGAATGGAATGATTAAGACATATAGCATTTGGAACCTTCACGGGGAACAATTAGACAATGCTTCGTCTTCAAATGCCACAAGAGTGGACAATGTTGAACCTATTGTGGATCCTAATGAAGTCATGGATATTATAAACGATGCTTTTCCATTTGCATCAACCAACATCAATCAGGAAGGGGAAGATGACGTGCCTACACCAATGGACAGTGCAGAGTTCGAACAATATGAAAAACTGTTAAAAAATGTCAACAAAGAGTTATACCCGGGGTGCGAGAGCTTTTCCGTTCTCACGGCCATTGTAGAGCTAATGCACGGAAAAATAAAGTATCATATGTCGAACCTGTGTTTCAATTACTTTTTGGGGGTTTCAAGAGAATGCTTCCGACGGACAATTGTTTGCCGAAAGACCATAAACACACTCATAAGGTGTTGAATGGTCTTGAATTGGGTTATGAAAAAATTCGGGCTTGCAAAAACAATTGCATGTTATTCTACAAAGAGTATGAAACATTGGATACATGCCCCATATGCAATGAGTCGAGGTTCAAAATGACATCTCAAAATAAAATGACTACGATCCCACAAAAAGTCATGCGTTATCTGCCCATGAAACCTAGGCTGTAGCGATTGTATATGTTGATGCATATTGCCATAGACATGAGATGGCATAAGGAAAAACGGGTAGACGACGATGTGATGCGACATCCTGCATATGGAAAAGCATAGAAAGAGTTCGATCGAACGTTCCCCGAATTTGCTGTTGATCCCCGAAATGTTAGATTGGGACTCGCCACTGACAAATTCAATCCGTACGAGGTTCTAAACCAACACCATAGCACTTGGCCGATTTTCGTATTCCCATATAATTTGCCGCCTTAGAAATGCATGAAAAAAGAGTACATAATGATGACTGTTTTGATAACTGAGGATCCTGGTAGGTCAATCGATGTTTACTTAAGGCCGTTGGTTGATGAGCTCAAGGATTTATGGACAAATGGTGTGCGCACGTACGACAAATCCACTAGGAAGATGTTCACTTTGCAGGCAGCAGTTATGTGGACTGTGAATGATTTTCCCGCATATGCAATGGTTTCAGGGTGGAGCACAAAGGGTTATATGGCATGCCCTGTATGCAAGGAAGATGTAACTTCTGGTTGGCAGGATGGAAAAGTTTTTTATCTTGGTCATTGGAAATGGTTGCCATGGGACCACGAGTGGCGGGAAAATGATAAAGAGTTCAACAAGAACATAAAGCGTCACCTCAGACCTAGAGAATGGTCCGGTGATGAGATTTTGGAACAGCTTAACCGTTTGGATTTTGCTCAGTTCGGGAAAACAGTTAGTCGGACCAGACCTTCTACACATTTGAACTGGACGCACAAGTCTATGTTCTTTGAGCTCCCATATTGGTCGAAACTAAAATTGAGGCACAATCTCGACGTTATGCATGTTGAGAAAAATGTGTTTGACACATTGATGGGTACGATTCTAGACATCGAGGGCAAGACAAAGGACACGATCAAAGCTCGTCTTGATTTGGAAAGAATGGGCATACGAAGAGGTTTACGGACGAATAGGGACAATGATAAAGCTAAAAGGGATCTTGCTTTTCTTTTCTTTTTTTCCATGAAACCGAATGACAAAAAAGATTTTCTAAAGTTTGTATCGTTTGTAAAGTTTCTCGATGGGTATGCTTCTAATATCATGCGTTGCGAGAATGTTGACGGGGGTAAATTTGCTAGACTAAAGAGCCATGACTGCCATGTGTTTATGCAATGCCTACTTCCTATGGGTATTCAACACCTTCTATCGAAATATGTAGTGAAACTAATCATATTGTTGTCTAGATTTCTTTACAAGTATGATCCACGTGATGGTTCATTTGCCAGAAGAGGCATTGCTTGTTGGATGTATCTAATAGAAAGGTATATAATCCTCATCATTTGTTCATGCATCCTTATCCCACGCTTGCTAATTTGTATCGTATCGTTTTATTTTCGCAGGCTGCTCGGAGAGTTGAAAAAAACTGTACGCAACAGGGCGAAGCCTAAAGGATTAATTATAGAGCTTAGGTTCAATATGAGTCATTTACTTTCTGTGGAATGTATTTACAAGATGTGGACATAGCTTTCAATCGTCCTCAGCGCAATAATGACGGAGGTGTGAGAAATGAGAAACTTTCTGTTTTTGCCCAAAGGGCACGACCCTTTGGAGATCCTGTACGAGAAGAGTTGTTTTCCAGAAATGACATGGAGGTAGCGCATTGGTTCGTACTGAACAATTGTGATGAGATAATGGCATACTTAGATGAGCATGAAGAGATGATGAAACGAGAACATCCATCACATTTGTATGCCACGAAACACCACAGCGAGAACATCCATCACATTTGACATATATATTGTATTATTTAATGTTCTCAAACTAACATGTGAATGTTTTTGTATAATATTAGGTCAATAAGTTGAAATCATCGAATTCCCCCACTTACAGTGAAGAGTTATATAACTTGGCGTTCAGCCAGATTTGGGCTGAATTGTTCTCGGGTTGCCATGTTAACGGCATCAAGTTTTTGGGGACTGCACGAGATGACAAGTTGTGTACCCAAAAATAGCGGTGTCCATGTCCCAGGTGGAGACGAAAGTACGGACATTGATTTCTATGACAAACTCACAACGGTCGTGCAATTGCTTTACAAAGATCGATACCAAGTGATCATGTTTAAGTGTCGATGGTTTGATACAAACCCAAATAGGCAGGGAAGTGTTAAAATCGACCATGGCTTACTATCAGTGAACATTAACAGAACTTGGTATGATGACGACTCTTACATTTTGGCAAACATGGCAAAACAGATTGTGTATTTAGATGACCCTAAAGCCGGGAGCAGTTAGAAAGTTGTTCATCATATGGATAAGAGGAACGTGTATGCTATACCAGAACTAGACCCAACTGACAACGACGTTGACAACGTCGCTGACCAACGTTTGGAATCTTCCATGGAAAATGATACAGAAACACTTCGAGATACAAATGTTACACAAGAACCGTTTCATCTTCAAGGGGTGTCTTAAATCAAAATACCGATTCATTCAATTACAATTGACCTCGGTGATCTTCCACGATATGATGTTCCAGTGGGCCCGAACTACGAAAGTGATGAGGAGGAGGATTGGGAGACCGAAAGTGATGATAGCAACGATAACGAAAGTTATTATAGTTCAGATGATAATAATGCAATTTATTAGTGACTACCCATGTAAAACATAGTAAATTAATTTTTATTTTATTTTAATTATGGTAGTGTAAAGATGGCAATCACAAATTAAAATCAAGTTGCCCACAAAATTGGCAATCATAAATTAAAGGGTAAACTACAGTAAACCCCCCAACCTATGGGGTCATTTACGAGTTCATACCCGATTTTGGGGACATTTATGGGTACATACACAACGTCGCAAAAAATTACAGATCGCCCCCCTCCGTTAGCGAATCCATCAGAAAATCCGTTATCTGCCTACGTGGCATTTGTGGGACCTATTTTTAATTGACGTGGACTTCCACGTGGACAAATAAATAATAAAAAATTTATTTTAAAAATTAAACATATTAAATTATTTATCATTTATTAATTTTTTTTTAAAAAAACTCTACCCAAATTCTCTCTCTCTCTGTGTCTCCCGATCTCCTCTCCTCCTAGCCCACAGCCACTCAAACCCTAAATCGAAACGAAGTACTCCGGGTATTCAATGGCGTCGCCGTCTTCGTCGCTCTCTACCTCCTCGGCTACGACTTCATCCACGTGCAGCCGGTGGTGGTTTCCAAGAGATCCAGCTCCGAAGACCTTCGGGGCTTCAAGATGGAGAAAGTCACGATCTTGAGGCACGGTGAGTCGCTAGATTCGAAGACGAAAGGAAATAACGGTGCCGAAGCAGGTGCAGATCGTGGATTTGAAGTCTCCGGTGGAGGGAAAGACCGACATGTACGCTGGATCGGCGTTCGCGTTGTCGCCAGAGCCCAGTGCGCTCCCGCTGCCGTCGTTTTCGAAGAAGAAGCAGGTATCGAAGGTTGTCGACGGTGACTCGGCAACTCAAGACCTGCGGCGGTTGCTCCGGTTGGATTGAAAAGAGAAGATCCGAATCCGAGGACCCGAAGAAGGCCCCGACTGGATCTGGATCCGAAAAATGGTTCTGTCCTTTGTCGTCTCAGTTTTCGAGTTTGTCACTTGGTTGGTGTAGCTAATCTTATCAACTTGTTATGGGAAATATTGTGGGGTTCTTAATGAAGAATCTGTCTTTATTGCAGATAGACTTGATGTATTATGTGAATACTGATCTTTTGGTTGCATTTCATTGTGATCGTCAAGTATGTTTTAAATATGACTTTCGAACATTACATCCACCGCACCACTTCTAGTTTCTTAATTGTGTTGGTTCTGACCCTCTCCAATCATCACTATATGTCTGAGTTATATGGGGTCGAAGAAATCTGGGTGGAGGAAAGAAATCTGGGGTTGAAGAAATTTGGGATGGGAAGAAATTGGAAGGAAGATGGAAGAAATCGGGAGAGAGAGAGAGAGAGAGAGAGAGGAGAGAGAGAGAGAGAGAGAATTTGTGTTGAAGAAATCGGGAGAGAGAGAGAGAGAGTTGGGTTTGGAGGTGGGTGACGGAAGGGGGAGAGATGAGATTTTTTTTTCTTTTCATTTTTTAATGATTTTAATATGATTTAAAAATAATTTAAATAGTAAAATAATTTTTTATTAATTTTTGGTCCACGTGGAAGTCCAAGTCATTAAAAAAAGGGGTCCCACTTTTGACACGTCGGCACATAATGGATTTCATGACGGAATCGCTAACGGAGGGGGCGATCTGTAATTTTTTGCGACGTTGTGTATGTACTCATAAATTTCCCCAAAATCGAGTATGAACTCGTAAATGACCCTATAAGTTGGGGGGTTTACTATAGTTTGTCCTAAATTAAAATAAGTCATATAATATATAGATTGAAATGTAGATAAATACCTAAATTTGAAAACACATTTGAATCTGACTATTTGATTTTAAGTGGTATTTATGAATATAAGAATTAGGGCTTTCTCTTTTTGGAGTTGAAAATATTGAAATTGAAAGAATACAAAAAATTGTAACATTCATGAAAAAATTGAAAAAATAAAATCAAGAATCCATCCATCATGGCCTTGTTCCATGCTTGGCTACAGCCCATGTGATTTCTTCCTCCTCTTTTTCAAGAGGTCAAACTTTGTCATTGCAAGTCATAAAGTTAATTAAAAAGTTTTTTTTTGAAATAGGAGAAAGTTCATTATTCTGTTATGACATAAAGAAAACCCCCCCTTTATGTTGTTAAAAAATATGCCTATATGAAGAGACACCCTGGTTTAGCTTTTCTGTTTCAAGCCTTTTGGCCTCATGTGCGCCACATAAAAAAAAGTTATATATATTTTGTTTCGTGAAGAATTAAATGTTTATATGAAAACAGAGAAAACAAGAGTTAAATTTTGGAGTTTAAATGTTTATTGTATCGTTGAAGATTATCAAATAAAGTTTATTTTTATTTATAAAAAAAAACCCAAGAGTTAAACTTTGGGGTTATATATGTAGGACAAATGTTCTATCATAAAAGTTGCAAACCCTTGCAATTATAAAAACAAGCGAAAATGTATATTGAAATTCAAATTTTAATTTAGCTACAAATTCCCTTCCAATGAATGATGTACCACTATTTAATTTCTATTTTGTTGAATCAGATTATGAGTTTATATTTTTGAAGAAATAGAATTTATTATTATTATTTTTTAATTAATAGCGGAGTATGCTTGAAAAAAGAAAAAAAATACCAATGTTCCTCACAAAATATCAACGTTCCCCCCCATATACGGTGTGCTAATTTTCGCTTTCGAGTTGAAGTTTTGATAATTTAGTTGCGACGAAGGACTTTTTTCGTCGCGCAACACATCTTCGCGCAACGAAGAAACTCTTGTGCGTCGCGCAAGAATCGATAATTATGACGTGAAAATATAACCTTGCGCGACGAAGAACTTTTTTCGTCGCGCAACAATGCAAGAATCGATAATTATGATGTGAAAATATAACCTTGCGCGACGAACGACTTTTTTCGTCGCGCAACGAAGGGAATCTAGTGCGTCGCGCAAGATAAAATTATTATCACATGCAAATATAACCTTGCACGACGATAAATATCCGCCATTGCGCAACACATATATGCACTACGAATGTAGGCTTATTCGTCGCGCATACCATATTTATAAATCCCAAAAACTCATGAGTATTATGAGGAGTTCTTCATTTAAAGAACAAATATTATGAAATTATATTATTAGGACCCTACAAGTGTGTCATTGGGTTAATTTACGTGTTAAAATATTACATTGCGATATAAATAAATACACATATTATAACGTGAGTAAATTAACTATTTAGCTTTAGTCAATTTGACATAGTCAATTTCTAACAAAGTAATCAAGTTGCTTGACGTAGTGTAAAAATTAAAATTTCATAAATAAAGTGTTGAGTCGATTTGTGATTTAACCCACAATTCATCCACATTAGGCTTAGGTCTGAATATAAATACCGTGTTGAGTCAAAAGATTCGACTATATTTAAAAAACGGCTATACTGTTTAAAATGAAAATATTATTTTCATATAATTGTCTACATAAAAGTGTACTCAATTAACTCGGATTAGGTCCGGTTACGTTGTGCATTGAGATCAAAATCGTAATCGTAAAATGCTAGGTCAAGTTACGTGAGTATCCAAGCGTAATTGAGTCACAAGTGCCCTAGAGTAGGCTTATGGTTAGGGTTCGAGACTTGAGAATGGTGTTGGAACAAGTTAAGAAGTTAGAGTTTTTAATTCGAGACTTGGATTTTGGGTTTTGGAGGCTAAATCAATTGTTGGAATACTTAAATAGTTTTTACAATATTTTTGCCTACTTCAAACAAGTTTCCAGGATTTTTAAATAATAGAAACTATTTTAAACATACTTTTGAAAATTAAAAATAGGTTTTCAAGTCCATAAAAGAATTAAATACTATTTATTCAGTCATTTCATAAATAAATTAAAATATTTAAATACTAATTCTTCACTAAATAAATAATACTAAAAACTAAATACTAATTAAAGTAATTAAATAAGGCTAATATATATTAGTTTTACGAGAGGATTGCGCGACGTAAATGGGTTTCTACGTCGCGCAAGTTGTCCAAATTTTCGCATTAGGGTTTAGGGTTTAGGTATGAGGTTCTGATAATCTTGCGCAACGATAGTTTTCTGTCGTCGCGCAGAACATATTTGCGCTACGCAATGCAACTCGTACGTCGCGCAGGTGTCGTTAATTTTGAGGGTGAAAATATTACCTTGCGCAACGCTAGGTTTCTACTGTCGCGCAACAATTCATTGCGTGACATATACTTGTTTTCGTCGCGTAGGTTACAATAATTTACTATGCCTTGCGCAACGACAATGGCTGGGCGTCGCGTAAGATCTCGAAAATGTTGGCGGCCCATCGTGAAAAAAACTAGTTTTTTTTTCATTACCCATCCTTTAGCAGCCAAACCCTTCAGATCCTCTCACCCTCTCAGGTCCCTCCTTCGAACCCTCTCACCCTCTCAGACTTCGAACCCTTTCAGCTCCCTTCTTCGAACCTTCGAACCCTTTCAGACTTCGAACCCTCGCACACCCTCTGAGCTCTCTCATTCGAACCCTCTTAGAGCATCTCCAACCGATGTGTCAAACGTGCCACATAGACATTTAACAGCTAAAAATAACATCTCACATCACTCCAACCGATATGTCAAAGCTGATGTGGAATGAAGGCTGGAGGTTGAGATGTTATTTTTGACATCCCAAAAGCAAGATGTCAAATGAATATTTTATTATTTTTTCTTTTCTTTTCTTATTAATTAAAAATGAATCAACACTAAAATGTAATAAAGTAATAATTTAATTTGACATATCGGATGGAGTGTTAAACTGTGTAAGATGTCAAATTGCCACATCAGCCATCAAATTTAATTTGATGTTTGGTATTTGACATCTCCCTTGGAGATGCTCTTAGACCCTCTCTCCTTCGATCCCTCTCTTGGGTTTATTCCACCTTTCGTCCGCCATCGTCGGAGACTAGAAGCCCCACCTTCGAGCTTGGCACCTGCGTCAGCGGTCTCATTCTCTCCGTGTCTCCCACGAAACCCCTTCTGGTAAAATTCCCAAATCTAGCCTCCGGTCTTGTTTTTCAATTCTGGATATTTAGACTGATTTCGTTGGGATTCAGTTTGATGAGATTTTGATTTCTGCAATTAGTTTACTTAGTTGCCATGTTAGCTCACAAATTTAGTTCAGTTAGTTCACAAATTTAGGTTTCTGCAATTTAGATTTCTGCAATTTCAATGTGACTGTTTTCTACGATTTTGATTGTGCGTGCCTTTTTATTTGAAGTACCTGTTTCTTTTATGATGCAGGAGCATGTATTAGGCTTTCCTAATCTAAGTGGGCATCAACCAATAAGGCTAAGTTTTAGTTATATTAAAGTAATAGGTTATTATATTACTTGTTTTCCTAGTCTGACTGGGATTTAGTTTAATTTCCTGTTTAGGTTTTAATTTCGTTTGTCAATTAGGGTTTCTTATTAAACAAGGAACAGGAATGCTTGGCTGGTGTATTAGTATAAATAGGCTATTTAGAGATTCTTGTATAGAGTTTTTGTTGATGAATATAATTTCAGACTTTTGTCTATAGAGTTTCGATTGGGATTTTGCCCTAGAACTCAATTATCACTACTACAAAAATCGAAATAGACGACGGGAAACCACCGTCGTGTAAAAGGTTTTCGCCCGGTCGTGAAATCGACTGCCGTCTATTTGGGTTTCAAACTACGACGGCTTTTCACCGTCGTTGTTTATCAGTAAAGATGACGGTTTTCAAAGAAAATCGTCGTTGTTTAGAGGTAAAGATCGTTAATTATAGGAGGAAAGACGACTGTTTTTAATAAAACCGTCGTATATTGTATGTAAAGATGACGATTTTTTTATGAAAACCGTCGTGGA